TAAACCATCATTCACCTTAGTGGTTTTTGTCATTCGCCTACTCAACGGCCATTTCTTCTCTTCCTCTATCAGAACATTAATTTTCTTCTGGGTGGCCATATGCCCAGCTCTCAGGGTATGAATTATGATTGGATAACTCAACCATAGCTACTATTTTCATTTTCTTCAGATGGGGATGAGCATGTGAACTAGTTTTAGCCAATGAAATGGGAAAGTTAGGTAGGTCTGCTGGGGCCTCCTGGGAAAGATTTATCTCCTCGTTAAGAAAGTAAAACCTTTTGCCATCTCTCTGCTTTGTATCTTGGATGCTGTTATGTGAGGGAGTGGTGCTTGAATGAAAGGACAAACCTGAGAATGGAATGCAACACATAGAGGATAGCAGAGCACAGAGATTAAAAAGAGCTTGTTCTGAGCCAAATTTGGGCTAGCCTATGTCTTTAAGCTACTCTTAACTGTGTTACTTACAACCCAAAGCATTCCTAATTGATTACTTATCCTCCTCTAGCAAACTAACCTTGGTATGCCCCTCAGTCCTGTTTGCCCCAGGTGTCTAGATTTTTTTGGCCTCGTTTGGAAACCTGATATCCATTCTTCTTTGCAAATCCCCTAATTTGGCTCTATCCCTTCCTACACTCCCTAAATTTACCTCTATGCTCGCTGAAGTTCAACTTCTGTGAGCTGCAAACTCCCTTGTACTCTCAACAGCTTCATCTTGCTCCAACTGATTCCTGGTTTTCCTTCCAGACCTTTCAAGCAGAGGCCAGCTACTTTTTCTCACATATGGGCATTCCACAATGCCGGTGGGGTAGGTATCTTCCTCATTCTCCATTGTTATTTCCACTAATTCCTTTTTGTTTCCTCACAATCACAGTTCTTTGAAGCATATCTAGTATGTGGCCACAGACTTTACCACCCATTTCTACCCTTAGATGCCATCTTCTATCAAATTCCAGGACACTCCTTCATGGGTTTTTTGTTTTTTTGTTTTAAATGACTTTAGCCTCTGGCTCACTCTTCTCTCCACTGATTTCCCTGTTTTTATTCTTGGTGACTTCAATATATTCATAGATGTCCAACCCACACTTGGGCCTATTATTTCCTAGACTCCTCAAATCCAACAATCTTGTCCTCTGTCCTACTCAGTGTAACTGTGAGGAGGAGAGGATCAGTGGGACTTAGCCAGAAGGTCTCTAGACTCCTAACCCCAGCCCGCCTTTGAACTATACCATGTTGCCTTCACAGTTAGTCACTACTTATGGGGACATCAACTAGAATGTCTCTGCATTCAATAATGGCTGGCTCTAGTAAAGATACCAGGGTATAGGTTGTTTTTGCTATTTGTCTGAAGGTCGAGATATCCTGGGGGGAAGTATCATTGAAGAAAAATCAATAGCATCCTTCAAAAATGTCAGCATAAAATGCCATTGAAAACAATATAAAAGGTTAATGATACCTTGCTTTGAGGGTTTCAAAATACATTATCAGATTAAATAGAAGCTACAATGACATGTTGTCCCTGTGAAGAGACAAAATAATTAGCTAAAGCTATTTAAACATGTAGTAAATATATGAAAAAATCTATTAATCAAGCCAGAATGTGTTTCAGGTTGTTTGATCAAAACACACCCATGTACCCCTTTCACATATGTGAATATTCAGTACAGTCGTCAGAGTTGTCATTGAGCACTTAAATCGGGAGACGTCAGGGAGGGGCAGGGCATATCTAGTAAGAATTTGTGGTAAAGTGCTATTTTATGGAGACATTGATGGAGTCATAAGTTTTCCAAGGAATTAAGTGAATAGCCAGAAGACAAGTTCAGATATGCCAGGGCATCTTGAGACAGAGGCTTAATGCTGATCTTGGGCTGTGGTGTCTCTTTGGTAACCATAGTGAAGCTGGATGAGCTTAAACACTGCATGTTGAAAATTCCTTAAGAATGAGTCAATAATGAATTTCTTGCCTTTGGTGAAATGGGGCTGAAATACTTCAAAGTCAGATTTGGAAATCTGTGCTTGAAGACTTCAGAGTCACAGAAGTTTCAGATAGAGTTCATTAAAGGAAAAACAACCCTCATCTCCTCATTTCCAAAAAAATTTAAAAAAAAATAAAAAAAGATATCATACCAAAAAGTATGATGACTAGAGTCTCTTGAGCAACTTGTATTTCTTAAAGGGATTGGATAACCAAATCCACTGATTTCTCAAAATTACAACTGTATTCAAAGGTTAAGAGCAAAATCCTTCTGCTTAGAGATGAATAGGCTATGTGCAGATTCTGTGAATGAGTTCATGATTAGTCATTCGAATATGTCTGATTCTTCCAATAAGGATGATAAATGTATTACTTCAATATACTTTAGCAACTGATGTGTCAAAATCTTCTTTTGAACTTCCTGGGTCTCAGGAAAGAAATATCTCCCTTCTCTTTCCTCATCCAACGTTGTTATTCTCAAGTACCCATGGCTGAACAGGGGAATAAGAGAATCAGAAGTCATCATTATACCTTTTAATATCCAAGATGTTGGCTTCTGCAGAAGGGAAAAAGGCATTTCTTTTCTTACTGTCTGTGGTGCCTTTATCGTGGTTCATATTCTGGTATTCTTTTCCTCCCTGTCTAGTCCCTTTCAGGGTAAGGGTCTCTCAACTGCTAACTACATAGACATGTTAGTCAAATGCCTGCTATATTGAGTACAAAAAATGGATAAGCTATATATATCTGAAAAATAGAACGTAAATGAGATTTGGATGATAGAAATTTCTATTTATTGACCCCATAGGAAATAAGTAGACCAAAAGTTTATTCTTCATTATCTATTTTTGAAGAAAAAAATGCACACATTCAGATAGAAATATTTATTACTTTCCTATCTTTTCCCCATTGCAAAGGAAGGATTTAACTCTGGCGCCAGTACCAAGTAAGCCATTATTTAGAATTGAGGTCAATGCAGAATATAAAATGATGGTGGAAAGTGAGGGGGTGAGCATATCCTAAGGGCTAGAGGGAAAATAAAAATTATAGAATCTAGTAACCATCTTACACTCTTGTTAAGTGCTTATAGGACAAAGTATTTGAAAGACCTCTTTAAAAAAAAAATCTGATTAACAATTAAAAATGGTTCACATTCTCTTGCATTACATTTCATTACAGTTCATTCTGTTGTATTAGAAAGCCAAACTAAAACTTAGTCAGGGTAATGAGTCAAAACAAGTGGTTCTGTATTTCTCAGGCAAAGTAGTTTATTCTTCTAGGAAATGCCTAATATACACGCAATCAGTGTCTCAGGTTGTAAGTGATGGATTTAGCCAAATTTCTTGAGCCTCTACATCTCCAAAACAGCCTGATTCAATCTCAGCCGCAGGAGAGTACAGGCTGCACAGGCAGACATGTGGAGTAGGCCTGTTAGCATGCAGGGAAATTTTTTCAATTTATTCCCAGTTAGCCATGTGTGGGAAAATTGTTTCCAACTTCATGGAAAAGATGGAAATATATCTGTTGCCATTTGAGATAAGGGTAAAAGAGAGAAAGCATAAAGTGATATTTATAGACAATGATGGATATCTGTGATATTAGCATTTAAAATTGTATGCAGGATTAGAGTACTTCTTAGATAAGGTGATGTGTTCAAGACACTCTTTTCATGGCTGGGGAAGGCACAGTGCAGAGGGAATAAGTGCAGATATCTGTATGTTAGTGAGTGCGGGGTAGGGTGGGCTGGGGGAGCTGGCTGTGGAATTTAGGAGAAGTGCTATTAGCCAAACAGACATGAGCTGAAAAAAATCAAAATCAAATTATTCTGGGTATATGTCAGAGAAAAGTGCTACTCCTGCTATGACAAATGCTTCAGACTAAGAAGAAAGGAAATCTCATGACCTGCTAATATTAGGAAGAATGAAGTTAAAACTATTCCACATTTGCTTCCCTTTTCACAATAGGCTGCCATGAAAAAATTCTTAGAAACCCAAACAGAGTTGCAATTTGAGTATAAGAGTAATACTTGTTAGACTTGCCTCAAGAAAAGACAGCTTTCCCAAACTTCAATTAAAATGACTTGTTAGACTTGCCTCAAGAAAATACAGCTTTCCCAAACTTCAATTAAAATGACATTTTTTTTCCTGAAAGAAAAAACTCGTGCATGACTTGAAAACCAACAATTTAAATGCTTTCATGTATGATAAAGTTTCATAAAATTTATCCCTTCACCATAATGAAAAGCCTAGTTTCTGTCCTGTTTTGTCAGAAGTAGCCTTTATGTGGGGGGGGTATTTTTTTATGCTTGGAAACACTGCCCCCTGCTGTAACAAATGCTTAATTGCAGAAGGATTTTTTTGCTCTGAAATGAAAAGGATACGAAGAATAAAGATACAAGTATTAAAATGAAAGAGACTTTATTTTGAATAATACTATACATATCATTCATTCCATTTAATTTTCATAGTGCATAGCTATGTATGGAAGTAGATAAGGAAGAATTAACATTAGAAATATCTAAGGATGGAAGTATACAGGCAAAGAAGGCATTTGATATATACCCACGAAAAGGCATCATAGGACAGTATCCTTTAGAAAAGAAAGAAAACCATGCAAAAAGTCTATCCAAACCACAGCAGGCAAGTGCAAACAATACAAGTTATAGTTTCTTGGATACAAAAAGTATGCATGTTCTTTGGATTGAAAGCATAATATAAAGGAGTGGCTTGGCTTTTACGTCCGAGCCAAAAATCATCTATAGAATTAAAAAGTGTGGATGCCACATGTGACAATAAAATATTCAAGGCCACAGATGGAGGTCATCAGCTTACAAAGAGAATACTGAGAGGCTGAGCAAATAAAAAAATAGAGATATGCGATAAAGCCACCTCTGCCTAAGTTAGGAAATAGCAAATGCATAGGCATTAAAATGATAACGGCTCTTCATACTATGCTGCATTTCTATTTTGTCTGTCAAAAGAATTCATTGTGTATCGCTACAAAATTCAGTGAATAAGATGAGGCAATAAACGTAGAACCTTGGCATTAGGGCAAGTTTAATTTCCTTTTCATTTTATACGAGAAGTGAAAAATAATATAGAACATGAAATGCTCATCTTTCCATTCAAATACTAACTTTTAAGTGTTTCATATATACTGTGTTTGGCACAAAGGGGGCAGGAATATGAAGAATGATTAAACCCAAGCTTCCAACTCAAAAGATTTTACATCTGGAAAGCCAAGAAAAGGTAAAACTCTACCATTTTTAAAATCAAATGCTTAAAGCAGGTTTTAAAAATTGATATGAAAAATTTGATAAGGAAAAACATCAAAGAAAGATACTGAACAAAATCTCCTGGTTTCCTTTATAGTTTCTTTTTTTCCTTTTGTTTTTCCAAATTGCATTTTACAGTAGAAATGCAGACCAGTCTGGTTAGCTATGGCTCAATATTGCTTGGTACCCTCTTCTTAAGACATCATCTTCTTACACTCCACTGAACAGAAAACCATCCCTTCTACTGGCATGAACTTCTGCCCAATGAGACACTTGCTGCAGCAGGAGCACAGAAAGCACTCTGTGGACGCGTGCCAGCTGAAGTTGTTATAGGTCACCCGCTGCACTTCGGGATCAATGGCATTGTGGCATCCTTGACATACCTGTTAAGTCAATTATACAAAGAAGAGAAGAAGATGAGAGATCGAACTGTGATGGTAACATTTTCATGTTAGAACAAACTCAGCGCATTGCTTCAGATGGCAGATTAAACTGAGAATGACAACCTCAGAGGTATACAACTGAGAATGACCTTGTTGTTAACCTTCATAGCCAGCAATTGTTAATGGGGGTCTATATGTGGAACACTGTGAGAAATAACAGGTGAAGTCCAAACAGGACTCAGTGCTTGTAAGATATCCCCAAGGCAAAAAGTCTTGATGGCAAGTTCCAAAGCACTGTGTTTGGTTCTAGTGTATTCTATTAGATTGTACATTAGCAATTATAAAAAAAAGTTTTATGATTTTTCCTATACTATCAAATGCTGACAAGGATGTGGAATAATAAGAACTCTCATTCATTGCTGGTGGAAATGCAAAATGGTTCAGCTAATTTGGACGACAGTTTGGCAGTTTCTTAAAATTAAACTTACTCTGATCATACAATCCAACAATCATGCTCCTTGGTATTTACCCAAATGAGTTGAAAACTTATGTCCACACGAAAACCTTCACATGGATACTTTATTTGTAATTGCCAAAACTTGGAAGATGTCCATCAGTGGGTAAATGGACAAATAAACTATCGTACATTCATACGATTCAGAGCTAAAAAGAAATGAACTGTCAAGCCTTGGAGGAACCTTAAATGCACATTACTAAGTTAAAGAAGCCAATCTGGGAAGGCTACATACTGTATGATTCCAACTATATGACACTCTAGCAAAGGCAAAACTATGGAGAAAATAAAAAGATCAGTGGTTGCCAGGGGTAGGGAGTAGGGGACACGGAGGTAGGAGAGATGAACAGGCAGAGCACAGAGGGCTTATAGGCCAGTGAAAATATTCTGTATGATACTGCAATGATGGATATATGTCATTTGTCCATGCTATACATTTGTCCAAACCCATGGAATACACATCAACAGTGAACCCTAAGGTAAACTGTGGACTTTGGGTGATTATGATATGTCCATGTAGATTCACCCTTGTTAAAAAACGTACCACTCTGGTGAGTGACGTGGATAATGCTCAAGGCGATGCATGTGAGGGGAGTAGCGGGGATATGGGAAATCTCTGTATCTCCTTAACAATTTTGTTGTAAACCTAAAACTGCTCTAAAAAATAGGCTTAAAAAAAAGAGATTTTTCCTCACTCACTAAAGCTTTGAAGTGGTAATTTTACCAGTCTTACCTATGACACATGAGATTATTAACACCACTAATTTCTAGACAGTAGTAAATGAAAATCATGTTCAAAGTAATTAAGGACTCAGTCAAAAAATACTGACAGTGTTTGAGAATAATTAGTTTGCACTAAAAATATAACTTGTAGTTAACTGGCTTCTGTCATGTCATAATTTATGTATAATCTAATATCATGGAACATTAACACTTACATTCCATATACCATTCAGTGTACATGTATGTTATGTACAAATAAACATATGATATACACACATCCACACCAACAAACACACATAATTTTCTTCTTTAGCTGGACATGTATAGAAAGAAAATAAATGAATAACTGGCAATATTACAGCAGAAAACAAAACTACCCAGTTGAGAGCTCCAAAACACTAGATAGTTCATATGCCTTCTTGTTTATATGTATTATAAATCAATGTGTCTAAAGTTTTTGTTTTAAATATTTTATAACAAATGAAGAAACCAACAAGGTTGTCCAGCATTACATCAAAATGACTAATCTTCCACACCCTTGGTCTCTTAATGTGAATGTCAGGAATTCCTGAGAGATGAGGGTGGGTGGGTTGAGGAAGGTCATTTAGCCTGAGCCTTCTTACTTGAAAAGACCTGAAAGTGTGGCTGCCACTCAGTGGGTGAACTGGCTTAGGGTGTAAAGTGAGGCCTTGTTATAAATATTCACTTCAGACCTGCAATATACTTTCTATATTTTTTAGAACTACAAGGCTTCTAATTACAGAGATTGTAGCTCCTTAATTCACAGGTTATGTGAACCCACTCTTCCCTGAGAAGCAAGGGAGATACTCTCTTTGCATGATTGATCCACTATTCCTGAATACAACAAAAATGAGTGTTTTGATTATAAACATACTCCTAATTTGTAGTTGCACCATGCAAGCAATTGCTTTTGTATATATTCATTTTTTATAGCTTTGTAATTCATTTAGAATGTTGCCCTTTGTTTTCTATATTTCATATTAATTTTTCAATATTTTAAAACTTGTTTGTGTACAATAGAAGCATTTCACACTCAAGTTTTTATTCCCTTGATTTTAGACCATGATCTACCTTCTTTATCTCAGCCCTCTCATGTTTGTAGATCTTTTTATAATTTTTCAAAACTCACATTTTCATTTGCAATTAAAAAAAAGTGATAACTACTGTTCAACTGCACATAAAATTAAGGAAATTGTTTTGGTAAAAAAAAATAATAATTAGCACACTGAATGGTATAGGAATTTAGGGTTTGTGGGCTTCATGAAATTTAGTTTTATTAATAATTTGATTGCCATTCATCCCAAAGTCTGACATGATCCCAGGTAAAAACTACCAATCCCTCATTCTTCATAGATCTGAAAGCTGCCCAGGTCCCAACCAAAGGTCTGGAGACTCCAGGACCAGTCAGGGAGATGATATACTTCACCAGTTTCTGCTTGGCATTAGATTTTTCCTGGATTCTTTTTTTTTTTTTTTTTTTTTTT